CTGAGTTGCTGAAGAACAAGGCTTTTACCAGATGTGCCTCATGGACTGTGGACTTCCTAGCCTACAAACTGTAAGAAATAAATTTCATTCACTGATAAAATGCCTAGTTTCAGGTATTCTGTTATACAAGAGAAGCGAACTAATACACACTTGTTTAACATTTTCATTGAAAACTCTGCTCTTGTCTCTAGCCGATCTGGGTGTGACAGCTTTGGCACCCATTGAGCAGAAAGTATGCTCAATTTTGAGATGTTTATGGCTTGTTTCTGCTGTTAATGTAGGTCCTCTTTACTCAGGGCATGAACAAGATTAATTTTTTCCTCACAAATGGATGTGGATGGTCTGCTGCTGTAGGCTTTATCTTCAACATCATGTAGTCCCTTTTTCTTTTTTGTCAGCTGGCTGGTATGGGGATCCAACCCTATAATCTTGGTATTGTCAGCACCACACTCTCCCAAGTGAGTTAACCAGCCAGCTCCTTGTCCCTTCTTAAAATGAGTTACCCATTTGTAAACTGCTGATTTCTACAGGAGCATTGTCTCCAAAATCTTTTTGTAAAGCATCAATGTTTTTATCATTCCTCCACCAAAAATTTGATGTTTGTTTTTGCTTCAATTTTAGAATTCATGCTGCTCTGATGGGGGCTCTTTTCAAATTGATGTCTTGTCCTTCTCAGTGCGTTTAATTAGATCCCATTCAGACATGTTATAACAAGTTAATACGAGTTTATTTTGGTGAAAAAAAAAAAAGGAAATCTATGCATAACTTTTTCATAATACATTTTCTATGAACTTTCAAGATTCCTTGTATCTGACATTTCTACAAAGGCCACAAGAATAAAATATAGAGTACCATATAATTACCAGGTTTAATATAGTGAAGTAAAAATATCCTGACAGTTTTTCTTAATAAAAATAAAAGAATTAATGAAAATTATCTCCTTTGTTCTCTTCTTAGGTTTGTAATATAAGATACTATTAATTTTTACAAATTAAAACCACAATGAGATGTTAACTTACACTTCTTAGAATGGCTATTATCAAAATGATGAATTATAACAAGTGGTGGCAAGGATGTGGAGAAAAGAGGAGTATGGTGCACAGTTGGTGAGAATGTAAATTAGTACAGCCATTATGAAACCCAATATGGAGGTTCTTCAAAAAACTGGGCCAGCCATCCCACTACTGGGTATATATCCAAAGGAAATAAAATCAGTATGTCAAAGAGATTATCTGCACTCCCATCTTCACTGCAGCATTATTCACATAACCAAGATATGGAATCAATCTAAGTATCCATCAACAGATGAATGGATAAAGAAAATGTAGTATAAAGATACAGTGGAGAACTACTTAGCCTTAAAAAAGAAGGAAATCCTGTCATTCACAACAACCTGGATGAACCTGGAGGACATTATATTAGGTGAAATAAGCCAGGTACGAAAAGACAAATACCAAGATCTTGTTTATATATAAAAATCTAAAAATACTGAATTCATAGAAGTAGAGAATAGAATGAAGGTTACCAGGGGCTGCTGGGGTGGGGGGAAGAAGGTGGCATGGTTGGAATTGCAGACAAGTTGGTTAAAGGACATAAAGGACACGGGAGTGAATAAGTTCAAGAGATCTATTTTACAACTATAGTTAATACCAATGTATGTATAGTTGAAAATGAATGAGAGAGTAAATTTTGTGTTCTCACCATGAAAAAATGATACGTATGTGAGGTAATACACATGTTAATTACCTTGATTTAACCATTCCACACTGTACAGATATATCAAAACACAATGTGCAAAATAAATATATACAATTTTATTTTGTCAATTTAAAAAATGAATAAATTAAAGAGAAGAAATATATGAGCGGAAAAAAGAGTACCAATTACTAAGACAGTCACTATTGTGGGCAGGTAGAATTGTAAGACACTATTAATTTTAGACTCTGCCCTGGGGTTTAAAAGTTGTGTTCATGGAGCCATGAAAATGATGATAATGATAAATATGAGTCACTGCCAAATTCTCAACGATTACAATCACCTTTTTACACTATACTTATAATGGTTGTGAAGGTTAACTGTAGGTGTCCATTTGATTAGATTAAGGAATGCTGAGAAACCTTGTAAAGTTATCTTTTTATGTGTGTGCATGAGAAGGTTTCCAGAAGAGATTAGCATGAGAGCATGAGAGCCTGAGTGGGAAAGATTCACCCTCAATATGGGCGGGAACCATCCAATCCTCTGGGGCCCTAAGAGAACAAAGAACGGAAAAAAAAAAAAAGGTGGGTCTCTCTCCTCTAGAAATGGAAATACTTTTCTCTTCTGTCCATGGAAATCAGAGCTTGAGACTCTTCAGCTTTTGGGTTCCAAGACTTACACCAAGGACACCATCTGCTTCCCTGGTTTTGAGGCCTTCAGACTTAGACTAAGTCATGCTACCGGCATCCAGTTTGCAGATGGCCTATCATGGGACTCCTATTCACAATCTTGTGAGCTAATTCCCCTAATAAATACCCTCATCTATTTATAACATATCCTACTGATTCTGTCTCTCTGAAGAACCCTGACTAATACATTCTCTAATTTTGGAATGATATTTTCATCGAGATTTAAAATGAGTTGATGGAAGAAAGGGTTTAAATAAGGTTTTACTCCAATACTACTCTTCATCATCTACTTGTCAGTATTTATCATTCATCCAGTATTTCTAAAAAGTATTTGCCAAGAAATTCTGTAGCAAACTTGTTATTGAACTATAAAACATTGGTGAAAGAAAATGAAGAGTACCCAAATAAATGGAAAGATATCATATGTTCTTGGGTTGAAAAATAACATCATCAAAATGGCCACATTACCCAAAGAAACCTACACATTCAATGCAATCCCCAACAAAATACCAATGATATTCTTCACAGAAATAGAAAAAGTCTTAAAATTTGTATGGAACCACAAAAGACCCATAGAGGGAAAGCAATCTTGAACAAAAAAAATGAAGTTGGAACCATTACATGACCTGACTTCTAAATATACTATAAAGCTATAGTAACCAAAACAGCATGGTACTGGCATAAAAAAGCAGACAAGTAGACCAATGGAACAGAATAGAGAACCCAGAAATAAACACACGCACTTATAGCCAACTGACTTTTGACAAAGGTGCCAAAAATATGCACTGGGGAAAGGACAGCCCCTTGAATAAATGGTGCTGGGAAGACTGGATATTCATATGCAGAAGATTCAAACTAGACACCCATCTCTCACCATACACAAAAGTCAACTCAAAATGGATTAATGGGCTAAATTTAAGACCTGAAACTATGAAACTACTAGAAGAACACATGGTGGAACGCTATGTAAAATGGGAGTTGGCAATGTTTTTTTGTCAATTAAAGCAAAAATAGACAAATGAGACTGTATCAAACTAAAAAGCTTCTGCACAGCAAAGGACACAATCAACAAAGTGAAGAGACTACCTACAGAATGGGAAAAAAGTGTTTGCAGACTACACATCAGACAAGGGGCTAATATCCAGGATCTATAAGGAGCTCAAACAATTCAACAGCAAAAAACCAATTAACCCACTTAAAAAATGGGGAAAGGATGACCTTAACAGACTTTTCTCAAAAGAGGACATACAAATGGCCAACAGGCACATGAAATAATGCTCAGTATCACTAATAACCAGGCAAACACAAATTAAAACCCAAATAAGATTTCACCTAACTCCAGTTAGTATGGCTATTATCAACAGGACAGAAAATAACAAATGCCGGTGAGGATGCGGAGAAAAGGGAACTAATGTAAACTGATACAACCATTGTGGAAAACAGTAAGGAGGTTCTTCAGAGAACTAAAAATTGAACTTCTATGATCAAACAATGCCACTACTGGGTACACACTCAAAGGAAATGAAATCAATATATTGAAGAGAAACCTGCACTCTCTTGTTTACTCCAACACTTTCCTAATAGCCAAGAGATGAAATCAACCTAAATGACTGTCAATGGATGAATGGATAAAAAAAAACTGTGGTATATATACATAATGGAATAATACTTGGCTATAAAAAAAATGAAGTCATGACATTTGCAACAACATGGATGGAACTGGAGGACATCATGTTAAGTGAAGTAAGTCGGGCAAAGAAACACAAATACCACAAGATCTCACTCATATGTAGAATCTTAAAAAAAAAAAGTGGTTCTCATAGAAGTGAAGAATAGAATAAAGCTACCAGAGGCCAAGAGGGGATGGCAACTAGTGAGGAGGAGAAGTGGTGGATTAATGGGTACAAAACTATGCTATCTTCCCTAAGTGAATCATTGCACTGAAACAACACATTGTACCCCACAATTTGTGTAAGTCAATGTTAAAATTTTTAAAAACATAAAAAAGAAAGAAAAATACTGCATGATCTCACTTACATGTGGAATCTAAAAGAAAAGATCAAATATATAGAGATAGAGAACAAATCAGAGGTTACCAGGGCAGGATGGGGGTGGGGAGGAAATGGGGATATGTAGGTCAAAGGCACAAAGTAGCAGATATGTAGGATGAACAAGTCTAGAGATCTAATGTACAACATGAGGATTGTAGTTAATAAAATTACATGGAATTTGGGATTTCTGTTACATGTGTATATTTAGCTGCTCTTGTCACACACAAAAAGTAACTAGGTGAAATGAGAGATATGTTAATTTGCTTCACTACAGTAACTATTTTACTATCTCTCCATATCCCATACCATCATGTTGTCAACCTCAAATATACACAATAAAATTTATTAAAAAAAAAATACTGTAACTTTCAATCACATCATTGTTCTTTAAGGAGAATGGAGTTTGCTACATAACAATCTTGTTTTCGAAGACAGCACTGGATGAGGAATGAAGCAGTATACCTAGAAACAGTGCCTGATCAATTAGATTACTTAGATATTTTATGTATTAATTTTCTTATTACTAGAATTTTAACTCTAAAGTACTTTTTTTCTCAGCACTTACTTTTTTGGTCAAAGAATCATCAGAATCAGAAGGCATTCTTGTTGATACATGAAATATAACTTCTACTGTAGAGGTAGCAAAATATGGAGTGGTCAATCCAGTGCTTTTGTTTTTCTGTAGTCCTCCCATAAAACCACAATGGTTTGTGAGATTTACCTAGAAGCAATGAAGAGCCACATAAAATTAATCTACTAAACAAAACTCAAAAACACTATTGAAAAAGACTCAAACATCTCACTTTGCAAAAACATTGGGAACAAAGTCTTTTGCATGTTATCAACCAGTACTTAATTTAGAATTATTAGTTACAGCTGATCTGTTCACACTGGTATTTCTTCATAAGTACTTGAGGATCCCTAATTAGTAGGAGTTAATTAGGAAAGAAATCAACTACTGCGCACTATGCATCTTTTGCTAGGCTACTAGGTGTTAATAGTAAATTATAAAGGCTGTCGGGGACACCAAGGCCAGAGAGCAAAAATCAAATCTGGAAATGATTTTGGGAAAAGTTAAAACAGTAATGTCAATTTGTAAAAATAATTAACTAGGTGTATCATATTTATTCATAAAACTGGCTTCTTAGTTTGTTAGTACCTACCATAGAACAAAAATACAAAAATGCAGAACTACACAATTACATTAGAAAAACTACAAACTTATCTGTGTAATGATTTAAAATTTTTTTTAACTTCATGATTATAACTTGTGCTATGCACAGAAGCTGGAACTTGTGTTCACTGTAGAAAATTAAAGAAACATAGGAAAGAAATAAGAAAAATAAAAAAATCACCAGTATCTGTCTGCTCAGAGAAAATCACCTAGGTTTATGCTTTAAAATAATAAAATTGGCGTATCTGATAAAATAGGGAGTTATAAAAACAAATCAGTTACTATGTGAACTGAATATGTCTCAAATACTACAATAATATCAGCTATTAATGGCTGAACATATGAATGATGGATGAGTTTTTATGCCATTACTGAAAGATTGTCTCAATCCCTTGTAGTTTAAAATTTATTTTTTGACTCAGTAATATATTCACATAATTAAAAATTCAAAAGTATAAAAAGGAATACCAAAATTCTTCCTTTCATATCTCTCACCTATAGCTACTAAGTTCCCCTCCCAGGAAGGAATTTAAGTATTCTTGCAAAAATATTTTTTACACATACAAATTCTTATGTGCATGCATGTACACATATGGGCACACACACATAAAGAGTGCATGCATATAAAATGTCCTGCACCTTGCTTTTTGTACTTAATATATCTTGGAAAACATTCCTTATTAATAAGTAAAGAGCTCCTTCAATTTTTTTTTTCATGGCAGTTCATTTTATTGATGTATAATAATTTAGTCCCCTACTTAAAGGATATTCAGGCTATTTCCAATCTTTTGCTAATTACAGTCACTGCTGTGGTAAATAACACTGAACATATATCATGTTCCACTTATGAAAGTAGACCTGTGGACAAATAGATAAAGTGAAACTTTAAGCAAAAGGCACGTGCACTTCTAATTTTGAAACACACCACCAAACTGCCTTCCAAAGACGGCATAAACTATGTATAAGACTGCCAGTTTCTCTCATCCCCTCTCAAATACAGTATATTATCAAACTATATGATCTTTGCTAATCTGATATGTGAAAAATGGTATATCAGTGTAGATTTGTAGTTTTTGTTTTAGTGAGAAAGTTATTTATTTTCAAGTCAGTTCTCTTTCACATCTCTGATTACGTAAAGTAGAAAGTCTCAATTTTGTGTTCTTTTGCTGTAAAAACTTTTGTAACATTTGCTCATCTCTATTTTTAAAATTAAACATCTGGAGATAACTTCTCAGGAAGACAAGAAATAATGAAAAAGGTCCCAGGCACTCTTTACCCAGAGTCCCCCAATGCAAAAATATATCACAACCAATATACTGATGTTGATATAGTTAAGAGACAGAAGGTTTTCAACAACACAAGGATCCTCCACGTTGCCCTGTTAGGTGAACCATACCTACTTCTCTCCCACCTAATTGCCTCCTTAACCCCCAGCAATCACTCCATTGTTCTCCACTTTTATAACTGTCATTTCAAGAATGTTATATAAATGGAATCATACAGTATGTAACCTTTCCAGATGTTATACAATTTTCCTGTGACCTTTTTGTTAATGATTTCAAGTTTGATCCCATGTGGTTGGAGAACATATAGTATGATTTCAATTTGTTTAAATTTGTTAAGGTTTGTTTTATGGCCCGGGATATGGTCTATTTTGGTACATGTTCTGTGGGCCTTTGAAATGAATGTGTATCCCGCCATTGTTGGGTGGAGTGTTCTATAAATGTAGATTAGATCCTGTTGGTTGATGATGTTAAATTCTACTATACACTTGCTGATTTTATCTAATTCTTCTCTCAATTGTTGAGAGGAGGTGAAGTCTCCAACTATAATTGTGGATTTGTCTATTTCTTTTGGTTCTATCAGCTTTTGCTTCACTTATTTTGCGGCTCTTTTGTTTTGTGTGCACATAGGAGTGCTACATCGTCTTGGTGGATTGATTCTTTTATAATTACATAATGTACCTTTGTCTTCTTTGCTCTGAAATCTACTTTATCTAGTATTAATGAAGTCACTCTGGGTTTCCTTTGGTTAATGTTTGCACAATATAACTTTTTAAAAAATCCTTTTACTTACTGCTGGCCTATAATTTATATGTTTAAAGTGAGTTTCTTTTAGATAACATATAGTTGAGTCATGATTTTTAGTCTACTCTGTCAATTTCTATCTTTTAATTGGTCCATTTAGACCATTTATATTTCATGTAATTACGGATAGGTTAGGGCTTAAGCCTACCATCTTATTTTTTGTTTTCTGTTTATTTTCTCTGTTTTATTTCTCCTGCCCTCTATGGGTTACCTGACCATCTTCTAGAATTCTGTTTTTATTTATTATTTTTTTGAGTGTACTCATTTATCATCTATCTTTTTTTGTATGCTTTTTTAGTGGTTGCTCTAGGTATTACATTATATATACATAACTTATCACAGTCTATTACTGTTATCATTGTACCTGTTTAAGTATAGTAAGCCTACTTTACTATATGTCCTGTTACCCTCCCGTTTATAATTCTCATAAATATTTCCTCTACATATATTTTAAAACACATCAGGCAGTGTTATAATTTTTGCTTCAAGTGTCAAACATAATTTAAAAAACTCAAGAGGAGAAGGAAAGTCTACTGTATTTACCCATTTTTTTCTTGCCATGCTCTCTCCTCCTTCCTGATGTCTCAAAGTTCCTTTTTATCATTTCCTTTCTGTTATAGAACTTCTTTCAGTGATTCTTTTTGGTAGGTCTGCTAGTAACAAATTCTCTAGTTTTCCTTCACCTGAGAATGTTTTGACTTTCCCTTCATTCCTGAAAAATATTTTCACCAGCCATAGGATTGTGGGTTGACAGTTCTTTTAGCACTTGAAAAATATTACGCCACTATGGCCATTACAGTTTCTGATGAGAAATTTGCTATTATTCTCATTGTTTTCTCCCTACAGATAAGGTGCACTTTTTCTCTGGATGTTTTCAAGACTTTTTCTTTTGTTTCAGAAATTAAATTATGAAGTGTTTAATATGGGTTTCTTTTGATTTATCCTGTTTGGATTTTACCCAACTTCTTGAATCTATACAGCCAAATTTAGGGAGTTTTCAGCCACAATTTCTTTAAGTGCTTTTCAAATCCAGCCTCTTTCTCTTCTCCTTTTGGGACTCAGATATCAGGAATGTTAGATCTTTTGTTAGAGTCTCACAAGTCTCTGATGCTCTGGTTCATTGTTTTTAAGCCTATTTTTTATGCTGTTCAGGTGAATCTCTACTGTTTTACCTTTCAGTTTACTGATTCTTTCTTGTGTATCTTCATCTCCACTCCACTCTGTTGTTGAGCACCAGCTACTGAGCTTTTTATTTCAGTTATTGTATTTCCAGTTCTAAAATTTCCATTTAGTCGTTCTTCATATTTTCTATTTCGTTGCAGAGACTTCTATTTTTCATTTGTTTCAGCTGTGCTCCTAATTGCTCACTGAAGCATTTATATCATGGCTGCTTTAAAATCTTTGCAATCTTGGTGTGGGCATATATTGGCTGTTTTTCATTCAGTTTGAGATCTTCCTGGTTCCTGGTACGATGAGTAATTTTTTATTGTAACCTGGACATTTTAATGTTATGAGACTCTGGATCTTAAGATTTCTGTTTTAGCTGGCTGTTTCTGAGACACTGCTTCATCAAGAAAAAGGGTGGAGAGAAAGTGCTGCCTCGTTACTGCCAGGTGGAGGTAGAAGTACAGGTTCCCCACTCAACCTCTGCTGGAACCTGGGAAAGGGTTGGGGGAATCCTCATTACTGCTAAGTGGAGTTAGTAGTTCTGGCTTCCGATGTGGTGCCCACTGACAGTGGTAGGAATGGCCTCATTACCTTTGGGTGATGGTGAAAGTCCTAATTCTCCACTAGGCTTCCTCTGACACCACTCCAGTGGAGGGTGTAGGGGATCCTCATTATTGCTGGGTGGGGATGGAACTCTAGGTTTCCCACATAGTCTCCACTGACACTTGGGCATGGGGTGTGGATGAGAGAGGAGTTATCAACTGGGGGAGATGAAAGTCTTGGCTTTTTACTTGGCCTTCTCTGACACTATTTGATAATACCCCAGTGTAGTGATGGGGATACCTCATTACAGCCTCATGAAGGTGGAAATCTAGGCTCTTTTGCTGTCAGGAGTGGGAATGAGGTCAAGGTATTTTCTGTGGTGTTCGGCTGGAGTAGTTACTGTCTAGATTTTTTTTGTCTTTCTAGGTTGCTCCTCTTCTGGTCATTTGGCTAGAAAGAGCAAGCTTTTGTTGGGGCTTTGTCTGTGCCCAGTGGTGTTTCTAGGTTGCTGGCTTCTTTAGCTCCAAGCCTGGGATATACAAGGCAAAAAGAAAACCCAGAAAACTCACCACCACGTCATTCCTCAGTCCCAAAGTCCCTAATTAATCTGCCTTCTCTTCACTTTTCAGAGTCTTCTTATGTTTGTTTTATACGTCATGTGCAGGGTTTTTGTTGTATTCAGTATGAAGGGTATGGAGAATATATCTATTCAACCTTCCTAGAAGTAGAAATCCCCTCTGTACAACTTTTATTAAGTATTTTATTTTAGTATATTCAGAGATAAGTGCCATCATCACCATGGTCAATTTTAGAGCATTTTAATCACTTCCGAAAGAAACTCCATACCCTTTAGGTGTCATTTTTCTCTTCCCTCATCCCCCCAACCTGCCTTAAGAAACCACTAAAACCTACTTCCTGTCTCTGTAGTCATACCTTTTGTGGAAATTACAGTAATACATGATCTTTGTGACTGGCTTCTTTCATTTAACATAATGTTTTCATGTTGTAGCATGTATCAATACTTCTTTCCTTTCTGTGGCTGAAAAATATTCCATTGTATGGAATATCTGTTTATCCATGCATCCACTGATGGACATCTGAGTTGTTTCCACCATTTTGTTATAAATAATGCTGTTATAAACATTTGTGTACAGGTTTTTGTGTGGACACATGCTTTCATTTCTCTTGGGTATATACCTAAGAGTGAAACTGTTTAGTCATATGGCAACTCTACATTTAACTGTTTGATGAACTACCAGACTGTTTTCCACAGTGATTGTACAATTTCGCATTCCTACTAGCAGTATGAGGGTTCAGATTGCTCTAAATCCTAGCTGTCAATTGTTATTACCCGACTTTTTGATTTTAACCATCCTACTGGTGTGAAGTGACGTCTCACTGTGGTATGGATTTGTGTGTCCCTGATAGCTAATAATGCTGAATATCTTTTCATGTGCTTATGGTCATTTGTATCTTCTTTGGAAAAATGTCTATTCTGGACCTTTGGCCATTTTTAAATTGGGTTGTCTTCTAATTATTGATTTGTATAAATTCTCTGTATACTCTAGGTACAAATCCCTTATCAAATGTAAAATTTGCAATTATTTTCTCCAGTTTGGTGGGTTGTCTTTTCCCTTTGCTGATGGTGTCACTTGAAGCACTAGATCTTTAATTTTGATGAAGTCCAATTATCAATTTTTTCCTTTGTTGTTCATGCTTTTAGGTCATATCTGAGAACCCTTTGCCAGAACCAAGGTCACAAGATTTACCTATATATTTTCTTCTAAAGTTTCATAATTTTAGTTCTTACATTTAGGTCTTTCATCCATTTTGAGTCAATTTTTGTACATGGTGTGATGTAAGGGTTTGATTTCATTCTTTTTGATATGGCTATCCAGTTGTCTCAACACCTTTTGTTGAAAAGACTATTTTTTCTCCACTGGATGGTCTTGGCACCCTTGTCAAAAACCAGTTGACTATAAATATGTGGGTTTACTTCTGGACTCTCAGTTCTATTCCATTGGTCTATATGTCTATCCTTGTGCCAACACCACACTATTTTGATTAGCATTGTTCTGCACAAATTATTGAAAAGGGCAAGTGAGAGTTGTCCCAATATATTCTTTTTCATGTTGCCCTCACTTTTTTTTGGTGGGGGGTGGTAAGTTCTGAAACAGTGGCTAATTTTTTTTTTAATTAAGTCCCTTAATTTTTTTTTTTTTTTTTGCTGGCAGGTATAGGTATCAAACCCTGAACATTCGTGTTATCAGCACCATACAGTAACCAACTGAACTAACCAGCCAGCTACTCTTTCACTTTTACTAATGCTTTTACGGTACTTTTTTCAAAGCAGAAAATCTATTTAGGATGACTTTTATACCTTTCAAAGAGCATTTTCACATCTGTAATCTCCACTGACCTTCACATCATCTCTGTTGGGTAAAACAGTATATTACCTTTGACAAATAAGCAAAGAGGCCCAGAGGACTTAAGTAACTCACTTAAGGTAAAACAGCAGGTTAGATGAGCCATAAGAATATAAATTGAATGCTAAAGGCCTATATATTAGATACTGTGAAGGCACTGGGATTAAAAAAAAAAATTCAGTGAAATGAAAGTGCCTATTCTTTAGAAGCTTGTAGTCTAGTGCAGTAGTCTTCGACAATTTTGCTCATATACTCTCTACAGGAATTTTGAGAAAATGTATTTAATTTACAACTACAACAAACATTTTCATCTAAGTTAAAACATTTGCCAAGAATATAATTTACACTGTACTGCATATAGCATACATGTACTTTAAATATATTTTCATCAAAATCTTGGAACTACAAATTTGGCTGATTCAATATACATAAAATGTCTGCTATTTAACCTAATGACAAACCAATCAGCTGAATCAGATTCAATTTATGTTAGAACATGTCCAACACTTCATTTTTCTTTCTTTTTTTTTTTTTTAAAGATGACTGGTAAGGGGATCTGAACCCTTGACTTGGTGTTGTCAGCACCACGCTCAGCCAGTGAGTGAACCGGCCATCCCTATATGGGATCAGAACCCGGGGCCTTGGTGTTATCAGCACCGCACTCTCCCGAGTGAGCCACGGGCCGGCCCCAACACTTCATTTTTCAATTCAAATAAACATATTACTATAAACCCCTACGATAAATACCTAGCTTCTGAATTATAATCCTAAGATAGATGGATATGGTACAAGATATTTGATATAAATTGGTTGCCAGATGACATAAAATTCAACAACTTTCAATAGTTCTCGTTTTGCTGTCAGGGACTCTCTTTTAGGAGCACACTCTCTTAAACTGTTTCTTTTCAGAGTGTCAAACCCCTTTCGGGCAATGTAGGATTTGAGGTGGGTAAATTTTACAAGTAAAAAAATAGAAAACGAGAGGCAAGAGACTGTAGAAGGGTTCTCTGGCATTAGTTTTAGTAAAGTTGAGGATCTGGAAACTAATTTCCTCAAAACTAAATGTGCCCACATACCCCTGGAAAGCCTTTGTGTAGCCTTAAGGTCTTAGTTTAAAGACCACCAGTCTAATGGTCACAGCTATAAAGAAAACCAAGATCTTCTAAACCTATGACTTTAGTACAGTCTCATAAAACAGTCAACACCTTTCCTTTCAAAGTCCCAACTGCTGCTGTATTTGCAGGTGAGATATAAGGCAGAGTCAGTAAGAAACCCACTGTTAACTTGTTGTATCTCCTAAAATGATGCTTCTAAAATAAGCTGGAAAGAAAAAGTAAAATAACCCTCTTCTTCCAAATAGAAATAAAATGACATTTGGTATAATTTAAAAATAATACCTCCCAACCAAGACCAGCTACAAAATCCTCATATGCTTGACTTCCTCCTGTATTGGTGAGAATAGAGTGTTTGTCTTCTTGTCCTTCAGCAACATAGAATACTGCGATCTTGTGTGTCTCTCGGCTGTAAAACAAAAGATTACACCATTCATTTAACCACTCATTCATCCATTCATCCATCCATCCAATAATTAAGTTCTATGTACTAAGTATGTGGCAATAAAACGATATAAAAGATTTATATCTTATAGACTACAAAAGAAGACAAGTAAATCCATTATAAGTAAAAAATTATAAAAGTTAGAAAATTGCCATTGAAACAGAAGAAAGGTGTGATTACTTCTAACTGGAGAAACGGAGACTTAAAGCAGAACATAATACAGACTTAAGTGAATGTAAGAAAGATTTGAGAAATGAAGAGAAAGTATCAGAAAGGGCACATAGGTGTGAATGAACGAAGCATTTGAAGAGTTATCATGCAATGTGGCTGAATCTCAGGGTTAAAGAAACTGTTTAAGAACTAAGTAGTAGTACGGAGATTAGTGGGAAATGATCCATTCCTTCAAAGTACTTACAATACAGAAGAAGAAACATATATGAAATTGTATGGAATAACTGCCAAATTCTTAGGCACTTTATTTTTAGTTCTCTAAATTTAAAAGTGTCCATAAAAGCAAATTTCTTGCATAAAATTTGGCTTTCCAAGCTACTAGGGCACACTATGTTTGGTCTAGCTTGATTTAACAAAGCATGGGTTAACAACCTTTATGACCAGAAGTAAAGATTTCACTACTATACCATGTTGGAATTAAAAAAACAAACCACAACCAATAACAAATTTTGTTTGGGGAAAATGGGGGAGTATTAGATACTGGGTTTCTTTCTAGAGGAACTAAAATATTCTAAAATTAGATTGTGGTGACAGTTGCACAAACTTGTAAATACACTAAAAATATGTACACTTTAAATTGTGAGTTGTAAAGTATGTGAATTATGTCTCAATAAAGCTGTTAAAAACTTAATTTGAAAGCAAGATCTATTATGTGTAAATTCTATTCCTGACAGAAAGGGAAACTTCTCAGTATTCTCACCTTTCTAGGTCAAGGGCTATCAATAAAAACTCATAAATCATAATTTATGAAATTGGGAAGAGTTGGATAGAAATGTTCATATAATATTATATAAATCCAAAAGTTGAGAGAAGTATATGTGCCACAGAGGGAAAAACAGAAAAATACAGAAAAATATTTAAAATGTAATAAAAGAGAAACCACATTTACGTTATCTATGTCCTTCCTACAATTTTTAAAAGCACAGTTCAGCTGCATTTTAAGTCAAATTTTAATCATTCACCATTTCTTTTAATTTTTCTACTTACTATGGATGCTAAAATGTTTGTTATATTGCCATTAGATTACTCTGCACAACAACAGTGAATGAGGCAAATGTATTAGAAACAAATATTTAAATCAGTGAACTTGCAACTACAAATGATCCATAAGAATACACGTACAGTACTGGAAAAATATCATGAGCTAACTACTGAAAAATTCAAAGTGACAGCTGTCAGATAATAAGTACTTCTGAATCCCTGTATATACTTTACAATAAAATAATAATACAAATCATTTTGAGATTTAAAATAAAAAAATCTGGTGGTTCAACGAGAGAAGACTGTTAAACAAAGTATCCTTTCATTTCCTTCCTTCCTAGTCCTCCAGACAAGTAATCAGGTTTCCAGGTTTCCTAGCTTAAGAAGGTAGCACAAAAGTTGTCTCACTGTCATGTAATTAGAATGAATTTTTATTTGAGCCCATTGTAATAAGAAAAGAAACTATGTTATTTTCTTTATTTAAAGTTAATTCTTTTTTTTAAAAAGCAAACAAATAAATGTCATGCATTCATCTGATGCAGTGCATCAAAAAAAAAATCTATTTTGTCTCAACAAAGATGTTCCCCATATACTCAAAGTACATATGAAAATGGAGGTAGTTCAACAGGAGCCAAAGCAGAAAAGCATAAAGTAAATTAAAGAAACTGTGAGACTAAAGAATCACTAAGGAGTGTTCTCATTCACATCAAAATTTTACTTTAGAAAGATTATTCCGGTGGTGAGAATTGTCTAGATGAGGAAGAATCAGGAGATGAGAGCCACAGAGTAATTAGCAAGGTGCTGTAACTGTCTTGGAAAGAAATAACAAGAATATGAATCAAAGGGCTTGGAGCAGGAAAAGCAAGAACAGACAGAGGTGAGAGGTAAGAAGAAGGAAGAACTAACATGATTATGAAAACCTAAGGATAAGGAAAAGGAAATGGTCAAATGTGGGTAACTCTAAAATGGTACTTATAAACATAAACAGGAAAATTAGGAGAAAGATCTAATTTGAGAAAGAAATGGTGACCTGAAAATGATAGTAATGAGGCAGGTAAAAATTTATAACAGGCAGCTGCAAATTCATGACTGAAAATTGAGAAATAAGAGTATGAAGACAAAAAAGCTTGGGGCTGAGAACAATGAGGGGATACCCATATTACACAGTTTAGAGGGAGAAGATAAGCCAATGAAGACAAACTTTGAATAATTAAAGAATTAGGAGTTGAACTAGGTGATTTTAGTGTCATACAAGTTGGGGGAGAGGAGCACTTTAAAGATAGAACAGACAACACTATTATATTTTTAGTAGATTTAATACACAGGGGATTTTTAGGGCGGTGAAACTATTCTGTATGATACCATAATGGTAGATACATGCCATTATATATTTGTCAAAACCCTTAGAATGCACAAAGAATGCACTCTAATGTAAACTGTGGACTTGAGTTAATAATAATATATCAATATTGGTTCATCAATTGTAACCAATGCACTGCACTAATATGAAATGTAAATTATAGGGGAAACTGTGTATAGGGGGAGAGGGGTACTGTGGAAATTCTCTGCAATTTCCAATCAATTTTTCTGTAAACATAAGACTGCTCTAATTTTAAAACATGCTTATTAAATTAAATTTAAATTGAGTTTAATTAGGTAAATTAAAAAGGCTGGTGAGGACTGAAAGAACTTTAGACTTGATGGGCAGGATACTAACCTTCAGAAAGATAGTTTCAGTAGAGTAGCAGAGGTCTAGATAGTAGTAGAGCTAGATAGGTCTGTGGTGAGTGAGACAGGAAAAAAAAAAGATTAAAAAGATATGATTCCTGTCCCCAAAGACTTGATCATCTAGTACCAAAGATATATTATTATAAGAAAAATCAGAATTGAGAACTCACAGACTATTTAGCAAGTTCTTAAAAATGTCTTGGAAAGAAGTAATAGGAATAGCTAAGCAATAATAATAAGAAGAAGACGAAGAAGAAGAAGAAGAAGAAGAAGAAGACGAAGAAGACGAAGAAGAAGGAAGTGTGATAAATGCTATGACAGGGAAGTGTTTCAGGGTCCTGTGAAAAGCACATGGAAGGAGATCCAAACATAGTTTGGGAAAGAAGTTGAAGGGAAGGAGTACTTTAGGGATCAGCTTTCCAGAAACAGTGATGTTTAAGCTAAGACTTAAAGGTTAAATAGCAGCCATATTCTGAGAAAAAAATTTACAGCCAAGATTATTTCATTGTTAAATAATAAAGAATAAAACGGAGACAAACAGCATTCAGTTCTAGATGTAAGAAAATTAAAGAAAGCTTACGAAAAAGAGGAAATAACAGAAATTAGTGAGTTATAAACCAAACAAAGTAGAATATAATAAATTTGGAACTATTTCTTTGAAAAGACTAAGTAGGCTATTTGCATCAAGAAAAATTTTTAAAAACTCACAAAACTAAAACAAAAAAGAGAAAGTAATAGAGAATTATGACACCATGTGTCAATCTCTACTAGCATCTATTTGAAAATCTCAATAAAATAAAGTTTTGTAAAACAAAAAACAATAAAATTAACCCAAGAACTAAAAGAAAACCTGAGGAGACTAATAAGGCTAAAGCAAACTGGAAGAAAAATTAACAATTTTACTTACTCTTTAAAATTTCAAGCAACAGATAATAACCTTAATTTTAAAAAACATAATAGAAGCTACTAATAGATGGATGATACCCTAAACTCAATGAAATTCTAGTAAAACTAACACAATAAGAAGTCAAAAGACAAGGTAGGGTTTATCCCCAAAATGCAAATATGATTTTGATATTAGCAGTCTAATGATATTGAAATACCAGTATATAACAATTAGTTAAGAAATCAAAACTATACGGAAATCTAAACAGATGCTGAAATAAATTTTGATAACATTTAACACCCTTTCCTTATAAAAACTCCTAGAAAACAGGCTACCTTCTCGGCATGATAAAAATGATCTATTTCAAATCAAGAACCAACATCTTCATTAATAATGAAACAGAGCAGTTGTTTCCACTAAACTCAGGAAAAACAAGGATGTCTATTGTTACTATATTATCCTGCAAGATCTGGTCAGTGCAATAAGACATGATATAAGCAAAAACAAGCACTAAATACTAGAAAGGAGGTTATCTGCAGATAATGATTATATACCTAAACAAGTTTAAAATCAATAAGAGAATTCAATAAATATTTAGATACAAGATAATATTAATAACAGAAAACCCAGAAGATATAATGGGGGGGAAATCCTACACAGAATAGCAACAAAACAATAAAATACCTAGGAATACCCATATAAGTAAAACCCAGGTCTCAGAATAAATGAAAAACATATTATGATTATGAACAGGAATAATGATGATTATTATGGTGTCTATTCTTTCCATATGAGTTATTGAAAATCCAACCAAAATACCAATGGGCTTTTTTTTCTAGAAAACAACAGTATAAGTCTAATATATACAGTATCTGGAAGAATAATAGGTGAGAATATTGGAAGAAGACTGAGTCTATCAGATACTAAAATATATTATAAAGCTATAATAAATTCAACAGGGTAACATTTGCACAAAAATGATACACAAATCAATAAAAATAAACAGCTTTGAAGCAGACAACTTACTATTTGGTAAAGGAAACATCAAATCACTGGGAAATTAGATTATTCAACAAATAGATCATTCTCCAACATTCAAGCTTGTTCTAGTTCTCATTCCATAAATCAAAATGTAAAGAATTAAATTTAAAATACTACTTCAACCAAATAAATAAAGATCTAGAAGTAAATACAGTAGAATGTTTAACTGATTTCAAGACAGAACTCTGTAAGCACAACAAATAATTAAGGAAATCCAGAGAAAAGACTGAGAGATATGACTACATAAAAATAAAAAACTTGTATGTTAAATGATCTGAAGTTGTTGAAAACTGAAAGCTAAACAACTGGGAAAACATCCACGAATAGTACCAAGGCTAATCCTTAACACATCCACATATATAGGGAGAGTTTTTACAAGTAAGAAAAATCCTAAATAGAAAAACAGAAAAAGGATGCTAAGAGAGAATTTGAAAACAGATTAAAATTTCACACTAACAGATGAAAAATATTAATTTCACTAGTAATCAAAGATATAAATTAAAAAGATAAATATGATCTGCTTCTAAAGCTATAAAGATTAGGAAAGGCTGATTAATATCTTGTGCTGACCAGGTTGATGTTACATAGGTAGTCTTACACAATGTTGGTAGGATTACAAATTACTTAATGGAAAGGAATTTTGCAATAGACCAGAGTACCTCAAAAAGCTCATGAAAAAATTGAATTAAAAGATAATACAAATCTTTCCATGAACCTTTTAAAGACCTCTCATACATGGCCTGAAATATGCCTTTATTCTTTGACCTAATAATCCTATTTCTAGGAATTTATCATAGGAAAGAAATTAAAAACAACTTAAATGTCCAATAATCACAGAACTTGGCACCATGAACGATTATTTTTGAAGAATATCTAAATAACTAAAAAGTGCATGCAATATAATATAAAGTGAAAAAAAAGGATAACTTAGTATATACCCCAATAATTCCAGTTCTATTGAGAAAAAAAAATGTCCATCAAAAAGACCAAAATGCATTAAAAAGATACAAACAATTGAAAGATATCAAACATTTATTTTTCTAGAAAAAATTAACTTATTCTATTTCATTTCTATAAATGAAATAGTCTCTGCTCAGAAAGTTATCTCAATAATATAGTATTATTCACTGTTTAGAATATTATTCACAGTATTGTTCTAAACAGAGAAATACCTGAGAGTTATTAGTTATAAATATGAAGGTTTTCTAACGACTTACCACTGCCTTGAATCCAAGTTCCTAAGTTCTCTAAGTAGCTTTTCATTTTTCTTCAGGAGATGAAAGCTCCTCCTAAATAGAGAGATTTATAAACATTTTCATCACCTTTGCAGTGAATGCCATGAGAGACCCGGAAATACTTTCCACTCTACTCATGCAACTTTTACACTTTTCTTGCCTTTTCATAGTTCTAACACAAAGGAGAACAGACCCTAAAAAAATGTAAAGAATATATGTCATTAATTCTACTTGATCCTCATATATTTCTGCCAGTGGATCATATCTATTGGCCTCTTCAGTCTTTCCTTGCAGATGCTGTGAGCTTCCCAAACTCATATCCAGTAAAATGAATAAAAGTACCTGTAGGTTCCTTCTCAAGAGTTTCATAAAAATGTGAGAAGGCCATACCTCATGAGAAATAAAATCTAAAAAATTCACAAAATCTAAATCATTACCAAGTAAGCCAGAGTAATTCAAACAGAATTTGCTTTCTTCTGTCTTTTACATTATATGCTTTTTTTAAACTATGAAGCAATGAAAAATTTTACCAAATCTGTTCGGTATCTGCTAAATATGTACAAATTCATGAAATTAATGCTTGCTGTGGTAAAATAAAGCTTCCCATCTTTAATTTTTCTCAAGAGACAACATACAGACCATTCTACAGCAAAAGAGAATAGAATGCATTTATACTATTACTGAGTGGCAATTACCAGTATTTGGACATACCATAAGGCAAATTGTATTCCTGATATAATGGGGCTTTTGGATAAAGCAGAAGATACTCCCTTCTAACAAATGGAAAGGTTTAAATCAATTAAGATTATAAACACTAAGCAACAAGTAGAACTCCATTTCAGTGTTTCACATGCGTTTGAATTACTTTAAAATTTACTCATCCAGTGAAATCTGAGCTTCCCCTTCTACTGTAAACTGATCAGAAACAATACATTAAATAAATTAAATACATTAAATTCCACTTTCCTATACCTTTTCGAATCACAGAAATTAAAAACTAAATGTATACTAATAATGCTTTACAGTATACAATTTTCATGTTTTATGTGCATTATCCAATTTCTCACCACTATGTGAGGTGGGAATTACTCTAAATTTGTAGACTGTAGCCCAAGGCTCAAAGGTCTTCTAATTTAAGTCAATGCTCTTTTCACTGAACTCCTACCTAAAATGAACACTGTGTATTTATTATAAGTTTTTAAGAACAGATTGTAGTATGCATAAAAAACAAAACAGTAAAAAAACAAAAAAGAAATCCAGATTTTCTTGATTTGATTCTGAATCTTGAGTTAATTTCCCTGATTCAAATCAGAAATAATCATATTGCAAATGGTCTTAAAAAAAATTATTAGGCTTACATGAAGGCTGAAAAAATAAGATTTATTTTTTCAATAACATGAGCTATAATTTCTAACTCAGACAATTCTAGTGAAAAATGTTAATTTACTGGATCAAATTATCTTTTTATTCTCTTGAATCCCGATATAACTCAGTGGTCTCAAAAAAACCCTGCGTACTGGTCAAAGAACTAATTGGTAGATAAAATTTAGTGAGGAAAAGAAGAGAGACTAAAATGCTTGATCAGAAGATGGGTAAGACTAACAAAAAAGAAAAAATTTCTCCTTTTTCTTACCGTTTGTCCCAGGAATTCATTCCCAATATACTAAGAAGCAGTCTGCAATAATAAAATGCTGACTGAGGTTTTTGAGGTGTTGGTTCATCTTGCTCCACAGCTTTCATGTTTAAGTCATTAAAGTGCTTCTCAACAAATTCTTTTTCCTCTGTATGTTGCTTAAGGATAGCGTTAATAACATCATTTTCCTGTTTTTCAGAAATGCACACAGGTTGTGGAGCTGGAATATTAAGTGAGATGCCAGTTCTCTGTAAGCATTCAGGACTAGTAACACCCAAATACTGCAAGAGCTCATCAAGAACATCTTCTTCATCTCTTATTGTATCCCAAGTTGGTACAGTTTCTCTAAATCTTTTAAATTGGAGGGAAAATCCATCTTCTACTGCTATATCTTCTAAGCTTTCATTAGATGTAGGAGGCTCTTCTGGCTTCTCTTGGTGAGACAATGAAAGCATGAAAGATGTAGGTTCTGACAAGGCACTTACAGGAGGTGGTCCATATAGTATGGCAGAATCCCATGAATACTTTCCAGAGAGATCTCGTACTATGATTCTGACATTTGAATTGGCTGATGCAAGCCCAGCAGATAAACCTCCTCCAGGCATACTCTCTTCCGATCTGATCTGGATACAGGACACTAAGGTTGTATTGTTCAACACAAAGAACTGGATATTTGGACTCTCAAAGAGTTCAGGAGAAAGTTCAGTACTTTCACTGTAATGATTGTCATGATTTTCACACACCTGACTTGTTAACATAGCAGGACCACCGCTCATTGGATAATGGCCCAAATGATTTACCAGATGCGTAATTACAGTGCGGGCTGCTATGGAGATTAATCCTTGTTGCATTTGAGTTTTCACTGGAAATAAAAAATACAAATGAGTGGGAATACTTCTGATTCCTATGTTTATGGCTAGTTCTGAAAATTAGCCATTCAACACTAGATAATAACACAATGATTAACCATAATTCAATCCTCCATTTTCAAGACTGTAAGCAAAGTAAAAAAGATACGTGTCGGGGCCAGCCCGGTGGCGCACTGGATAGTGCGCCGCTTGGGAAGCGCGGCAGCGCTCCCGTCCGAGCCCCCCGCTCCCACGTACAGACCGGCTCCCGCTCACTGGCTGAGCGAGGCGCGGGAGCCACGCCGAGGCTTGCGATCCCGTCGCCGGTCCCCGGTCCGGTATGGGGGCAACACTGAGGGTTGCGATCCGTTGCCGGACACGGAAAAAAGACAAAAAGAGAAAAAAAAAAAAAGGGGTCACTGGAGGAAAAAAAAAAAAGGGGTCACTGGAGGAAAAAAAAAAAAGGGGTCACTGGAGGAAAAAAAAAAAAGGGGTCACTGGAGGAAAAAAAAAAAAGGGGTCACTGGAGGAAAAAAAAAAAAGGGGTCACTGGAGGAAAAAAAAAAAAGGGGTCACTGGAGGAAAAAAAAAAAAGGGGTCACTGGAGGAAAAAAAAAAAAGGGGTCACTGGAGGAAAAAAAAAAAAGGGGCACTGGGAGAAAAAAAAAAAAAAAAAAAAAAAAAAAAAAAAAAAAAAAAAAAAAGATACGTGTCACTGGATGATAAGAAACAGACGGGTGGCTTGAATCTAGTGTCTGCTTTCCCTTCTCTAATTATAACTTTGAATGTTCACACTGTAAAGGGTACTCTATACAGTACTCCTTATTTTGCACTGAGGACAAATGGGTTCATGAAGTTGAGTGATTTGCCTCCCATAGGAGATTTCACATCAAGGCTGGTCTTTTGCTTCCCAGCTCAGTGTTATTACTTCTTTATCAAAACTCTAATTTTCATATTTTTCTTTTTGTTGAACTGACTTTTTCTTTGTAACATACAGAAACAATGAATTCAAAATTTATTTATGGTTGTGTATAGTAACTTTGAAAAAAGTATTACTTAGATAAATTACTAAATAAATGGATCAACAGGAAAGCTCACCTAAAACTAAATCACTTTTTTTATAAATCACTTTTAAATGATAACAAAAAAATTACAATTAACAAGTTTTAAATTTTTGATTCAGAAAAAATTTTCTATTCTTCACCTTCCCTTTATTTCTTCTGAGTGATATACTTAAATAGATTCACTGACTCTAAGCAGTGAATATTCTTTGCAGAACATAAAAGTTTCCATTCTGAAGAAAGGAAAGAGTATAATGTACTAGAAACAATCACAAAAAAGAGAAGAATCCCTCACTTTGGCTTGTTATGTGATCACGGACAAATCACATAAAAAACTCCTAAAACCTTATTTTTCTGTAAGAATAACAGACTTATTTGTAAAGGTGAATTAAAAACTCTTACATAAAAAGCTGGCTATAACGGAAACAATATAAACCATTCAATATTGAGAGCATTGTAAGTAACATAGGTCTTATGAGTTCCTTTTTCAAATTTGCTTATAAACTCCAAGAATGATCCAACTCTTTCCTTAAAATGTAACTCCCCAAGCCCAGGTACCAGTCCATTCTGTGTATCTTCCCAAAGAGAGAGACAGTGGAAATGCGGGTTAAAGGAGCTTGTTCACAAATCTGTCATAATTATTAATATTGAAATAATAAATTTAGATTTCAGATGAAGGTAAAAGCATTTTCTTTCCTAAGCTGCTTCTCTAAATTCAGGATATATGTCTATTTATAAAAGGATGAAAATCACTCAACTTGTTAATTGGGCAATTACATTGATTTAGATTTATTTTGAGCTATAAACTATAGAACATACATATCTCTCATCTACATATCTACTAAGAAAGAAGACATAAAGAATACATGAAATTCTGAAATAACTAGCCTTGTGAGAAAATGCAAAATGAAGATATTGATGCTTCTAAGTCTTTGTATAACTAGGATTCATTTAAATAAGTCTATTCAGGGTTGTCTTTTCAGATTGTCAGATTAAACAAACCCTACAGCATTTGCAGCAAACCCATAATTACAGATTATTACAGCATACAAAAGCAGCAAGACATAAAAAGCTGCTACAATTCACTACACTGTAATAGAACATACAGAGGAAGTTAATTTTGGCAAATGCTTTAAATATTAGCTTTGCATAATATGTACAGGTGAAACTATAATTAGGACAGAATGAATGCTTTGGAGCCTCCTTTCACTCTGACCCTGCAAATGATGACTTTTTGCTAATAATACTACTGCCATTTGACAAGAAGCCAACTTTTCTACCTTGCTTTATTCTTTAGTAAAGTTAATAATTACAGCTACTCCTGCCAATAGCTCTCAAATCAGACTTGTTCAATCCAATACTCAGTTTATTAGGGACACTCTTAACGTTTGGAATTCTTTGGCCAAAAAAGAACTTGAAGATGATGAAGCATACCTCAGACAAGGGCACAATGATCAGTCATTTCGCCACATTAAAAACCACCCCCAGCATGTAGTCACTACAGACCACAGAATCACCTGCTGTTAGCTCATGGCTGTTTCTAAAAGGTTCTGCATTTATCTGGTCCTTAATACCTTTGAGGAAGTCCAAAGGGAACAACTTAATACATTTAGAGAATGGTATTACACAGAGTATTTGATACCAATATTAAGTTCTTCTATTTACATCTGTTCCTTTGCTTCCTTACAGTGACCGTTTGATAATTGGTATGGTAAACTTTGTATGAAATACATTAAAACTTCCTTTTACATAAGTAAACTATTTATTGCACTGTTCAAGAAATATACCATACTGCCTTGAATCAAAACAACCATTTTATACCTTTAAAAACACAAGGAACAAATAATCTCTCCATAGACCTTATGTTTTTAAGTAATGTAAACACTCTTTTACCAAGCCAAATCTAATCAGATAATTTCAAGTTGCCTGTATGAATTACTATCTAAATTCTTTTGCTCACTCGAACTGTTTGTGGTATATATCTTTTATATCTGAGCAATAATTTCAGTCTCATATTCCTAATTCACTTGTGTGTTTGTGTTCTAGACAAATTATTAGCTACTTATACTCAACCCAAAACCCTAGCCCCACTTTCTTGACCTCTAACTTCATATCCTCACTTTCATTGTATGCCATCAATCTATTATCATGGTTACATCCTAGATGTTTTAATTATTTAAAACTATTCTACATTTAAAAATAAAACTCTTCCTTAATAGCATACTCTTTTACCACAACTTCCTGGGGCGGCGATTTCCCAATTGTGTTTGTAGAGTCCTTGGACAGGGCCCTTGGAGATGGACATGAAAGAAGTCAGTAGGACCCCAGGCCTCCACCTTGCTGCAGCTCTACTTTAAAAAGTTTTATAAATTGGGCTTCCTCATAAAATTTATTTGAAGAGGTTCTACTGCTTAAAAAATCACTTTAAAAACCAATGTCCTAATGTATTGATGCTCTCAGTTGTTCTTAACCATTTTAGTTATGTGCAGAGCTTTTAAAAATCCCAGCAATTCCAGATAAATATATTATAATCTCTATGGATGGGACTGGAGCATCAGTATTCTAATGTGCAGCCAAGGCTGAGAAACACTATTCTAACTTTTTATTACCAACCACATCTACTTTCTGACTCTCTAGATCACTCTATTTTGTCCCAATTTATTAGTCACTTCCTGGCAGCATTCAATCCTTACCAAGCCTATGTTCCATGGCTAAACCATATATCAATATTCTGAAATCAATAGTTCCCTCGTATTTCTGCCATACCCATCTTACTGACTATTGATTGGTGCAATAAAAACTTACTGGTTTCTGTTTTCTTTTGGGCCCTCATTAACTTCTGTCAATTCCCTTAATTACTTCCAACTTCCTCTTCTTTCTGGTCTCAGAAGAAGGGCTAATCCTAGCACCCATTCTTTTGCAGCTCACTCCCTCAGGGACTTCACTCTATTAAGATACCCTTCCTACTACCTCCTCAGCTCATAACTAAGTTCAACTCTCTTCACCCTTAAAACTTCCTTAACCTTGAATCATCCTTTAGCTTACCTACTGTTTTTCCTTTTTTGAAAAATTTATTATTTTTTCACCTACTGTTTTATCTCCTCCCCACTGCCCCCCACAACAGTCAAGCTTCTTTGAAGAGTACTTTAAATGGGATGGCTCTACTTCCTTACATCCTGGCTTCCTCCTCAACCTGTAGCCACCCGCTTCTGCCTCTTACTTCTCTGCTGAAACTAAAGCAGACATATTTGTCAGTCCTTTTGTATGTGACCTCTCTATCATTTAACACTGTTGGCCAGGCTTTCTAAAAACTTTCTCTTCTCTTGGTTTCTGGGAAATTACTCTCTCCTGTTATTCCTTCCTTTCTAACTTTTTCTTCTCAGAACCCATAAGGTAAATATACATTCTTAATGAGATTTCCCTGCTAAGATCTGCATCTGTATATACAACTACTTGTCTACCAGATGTCTTCACATGAATATCAAATAGGCACTCCAAACTGAACTAATTTCAATACTGCCCTCCTCATTTCCTCTCCCAAATCTACACTTTCTCTAATATTCTTGCTCTAGTTTGGGGAAAATCTAACCAATCTCCAAATCAGAATCTAAACAGTCAGACACCTACTTTAGATTCCTTCTCTTCTCTTACCCATCACAAAAGCCTTTTGATTTTACCGCCTAAATATTTCTCAAGTCCATCTTTCCTTTCCATTCCTACTACTATTATTTAGTAATTAAATAAAAAGTTTAGTTTAAGCCTTCAGCAACTCTTGCTTGTCCTACTGCAACAGCCTCATGATTGGTTTCTCTGCTTCTGCGTTAACTGCCCAAATCAATTTAATATTCCAGGAATCAGCAAACTTTTTCTATAAAGGGCCAGACAAAAAATACTTTTGGTTTTATGGGCCACATGATCTCTACTGCTACTCAACACTGCTGTTGTTACACAAAAGCAGCCATAATGACATAAATGAACAACATGAATGTATCCCAATAAAACTATTTATAAAAACAGGTTGTGGGCATAGGCCATAATTTGCAGACCTCTATAAAATACGACTCCTATAAAATAAAAAGGTACTTCAAGAAGTTCATGGCTACAGAGTTGGAACCAGCCCAAATGTCCATCATCGGATGAGTGGATACGGAAAATGTGGTATATCTACACAATGGAATACTACTCAGCTATAAAAATGAATGAAATACTGCCATTTGCAACAACATGGATGGACCTTGAGAGAATAATATTAAGTGAAACGAGTCAGGCAGAGAAAAAGAAATACCACATGTTCTCACTTATTGGTGGGAGCTAAAAATAAATAAATGAATTCACACACACATACACACACACACAAAAAAAAAAACCAGGGGGGGAAAGAAGATATAACAACTACAATTCCTTGAAGTTGATATGACAAGCAATCAGTAAGGACATTGTTGGGTGGGAGGGAGGAGAGGGAGGAGGGAGAGAGGTTTCGGTGATGGGCCATAATAATCAACCACTTTGTATATGGACAAAATAAAAATTTAAAGAAAAAAAAAAGTTCATGGCTATATGGAATTGAAAGATAATATGAATCCTTCCATGAACTTTTTGAAATACTCATACTAGTGTCAAAAGTGCTCTTAGCATGGAGCCGGTAACATCAAGGTCAAGGGTTTGTATCCCCGTACAGGCCAGCCATGCAAAAAACAAAAAACACACAAAAAAGTGCTCTTAATACCAGTTTTATCATGTATTTCCCCTTCTTAAAAGCCTGCAGTAATTCCTGGGTTCCTCTGGGCTACTTCTGTCTCTTGTATATACTTCTATTTTCATACTCATATTAAAAAGTTATTTGTTTATATATCTTTCTCTTATACAGGGGTCTTCAAGAAGTTCATGGAAAGATTTGTATTATCTTTGAATTATATTTTTCCACAAACTTTTTGAAGTACCCTCATATCAGAGAGTGAACTCTCTAAATGTAGAAACAATGGGGCTTAAAACTTGTTATTGAGTTCACTATGTACAAAGGACTGTGCAAAGGGCTTTATATATATTATTTAGTACTCAAAATAACTTTGAGGGAATTAATATTAATATTCTCATTTTAAAAATAAGGAAGTGGTTACTTGGCAATTAAGTAAGACTCAAAATTTAATAACAGGTTTGTCAGACTTCAAAACTATATCTCTTATGCTATATAAATCCTATGATGCATAAAATAAAATATTGAAAAGAACTTCTAAGAATAACTTAGCCAGAAGTATAAAGGGAACATCATCATATATAATATTAAGTAATTGTGTATATAAACTTATTTCTTAAACTAAAAATGAACTGCGCTATAATATACATGGTTAGGTAAACAAAGTAGGACATATTCTCCTTCTTTACTATTTCCACCATGGCCTCAAATCATACCTTGAGAGAACCCAAGCAACAACATTTTCCTAAAGATAATTCATTTTACCTTCTGTTACTGGCTGGAGTTTAGATGATCGTTCTGAATCAGGAGAGTGTAGAGGTTCAGGTTCTTTCAGACTTTCCAAATGCATAAAAGGATCATAATCTACAGATGCCAAATCAGAGAGGCTTATTGGAAAATACCTTGGATTGCTAAAACTCTGAGCTCCATAAACACACCCATGTAAAACCTGAAAATAAATGGGTGGAAAATACCAAATTTTACTTTTAAATGAAAGTAAACAAACAAAAAAACAAATAAATAAAAGTAAAAGGAGAAAAAAACGTCAGCTGGTAACACAAGAGCTTGGCAAAATTTTAAAATATTTTAAAATTTAGCTCTTCATACAAGGTAAAATTTAATACCTTTTAAAAAGAAGAATGAGTAAAATCAAACTAATGATTCTCATATTCAACAAAGATCTGACACCTGTCAAAATTTTGCAATGAAACGACAGTGTCTGGTAGGAATTACTTTTTTTCTTTATTTTAAAAATTTATTTTATTTTATTTATTTATTTTTAATTTTATTTTGTCGATATACATTGTGCTTGATTATTGTTGCCCCTTACCAAAACCTCCCTCCCTCCTCCCTCTCCTCCCTCCCACCCAACAATGTTCTTTCTGTTTGCTTGTCGTATCAACTTCAAGTAATTGTAGTTGTTATATCTTCTTCCCCCCGCCCCCCTGGTTCTTTTGTGTGTGTGTGTGTGTGTGTGTGTGAATTTATTTATTATTATTATTATTCCACCAATAAGTGAGAACATGTGGTATTTCTCTTTCTGTGCCTGACTCGTTTCACTTAAAATAATTCTCTCAAGGTCCATCCATGTTGTTGCAAATGGCAGTATTTCATTCGTTTTTATAGCTGAGTAGTATTCCATTGTGTAGACATACCACATTTTCCGTATCCACCCATCCGATGATGGACATTTGGGCTGATTCCAGCTCTTGGCTATTGTGAAGAGTGCTGCAATGAACATTGGGAAACAAGTATACCTTCGACTTGATGATTTCCATTCCTTTGGATATATTCCCAGCAGTGAAATAGCTGGGTCATATGGTAGATCAATCTGCAACTGTTTGAGGAACCTCCAAACCATTTTCCATAGGGGTTGCACCATTATGCATTCCCACCAACAATGTAAGAGAGTTCCTTTTTCTCCGCAACCACACCAGCATTTATCTTTCAGCATCTTTTGGATTTTGGCCATCCTAACTGGGGTGAGATGGTATCTCAGTGTGGTTTTGATTTGCATTTCCCGGATGCTGAGTGATGTTGAGCATTTTTTCATATGACTGTTGGCCATTTGCATATCTTCTTTAGAGAAATGCTTACTTAGCTCTTTTGCCTTCAGAGTCTTTTGGATTTTAGCCATCCTAACTAGGGTGAGATGGTATCTCAGTGTGGTTTTGATTTGCATTTCCCGGATGATGAGTGATGTTGAGCATTTTTTCATATGTCTGTTGGCCATTTGTATACCTTCCTTTGAGAAATGCGTACTTAGCTCTTTTGCCCACTTTTTAATTGGGTTACTTGTTTTTTTCTTGTAAAGTTGTTTGAGTTCCTTGCATATTCTGGATATTAATCCTTTGTCAGATGTATATTTTGCCAATATTTTCTCCCACTCTGTAGGTTGTCTTTTAACTCTGTTAACTGTTTCTTTTGCTGTGCAGAAGCATTTTAGTTTGATATAATCCCATTTGTCTATTTTTCCTTTGGTTGCCCATGCGTTTGGGGTCGTATTCATGAAGTCTGTGTCCAGTCCTATTTCCTGAAATGTTTCTCCTATGTTTTCTTTAAGAAGTTTTATTGTCACAGGGTGTATATTTAAATCCTTAATCCATTTCGAGTTGATTTACTATATGGTGAGAGGTATGGGTCTAGTTTCATTCTCCTGCATATGGATATCCAGTTATCCCAGCACCCTTTGCTGAAGAGGCTGTCCCTTCCCCACTGAATAGGCTTGGTGCCTTTGTCAAAGATCAAATGGCAGTTAAGTGCCTGGGTTGATTTCTGGATTCTCTATTCTATTCCATTGATCAGTGTGTCTGTTTTTATGCCAGTACCATGCTGTTTTGGTTATTATTGGTTTGTACTACAGCTTAAAGTCGGGTAGTGTAATGCCTCCGGC